CCCTGGGGGGAAGATTGTCAGGGCCAGCTGACTTGAAGGTATCCAGCTTCTCAAGATGTTCCTTCAGAAAGTCAGCATTAAGGGAGGGCAGGGGATCACCCTCACCCGGACTTCCCGGCCCTGTAGCGGGCATGGGCGTCCCATGGGACTGATGAAAGACTGACGCAAAGTACCTATTTAATAGGTTGGCTTTTTCCTGGGCGTCAGTTGTCAGTTGCCCCATCTGGCTCAGCAGGGGTCCAATGTTGCCTCTGCTTTTCCTCCGGCTCCCCACATATCTGAAAAAGGACTTTTTATTGTCCTTGATGCTCAAAGCTAGTTGGAGTTCAGTTGCAGCCTTGGCTTTCCTGGTCTGCTCCCTACAGGACCGGACCAGTGCAGAATAATCCTCCTTGGAGGTGACTCCCATCCTCCATCCTTTGTAGGCCTTTCTTTTTAGCCTCGGGAGGTCTGCTAGGTCCCTGGAGAGCCAGGGGGGCTGCTGTGCCCTCTTGCTGCCTTTCCTCCGAGATGGAATAGACTTAGTTTGTGCTTTGAGGATCGCTCCCTTGAGGAGCAACCACTCCTCTTGAACTCCCCTCTCCCTGTGGTCATGGTCCCTTAGGGCCTCACTGACAAGCCTCCTGAGCTTGTCAAAGTCGGCTTTCCTGAAGTCCAGGACTTCCATGTAAGAGTCAGAAGAAAGAGAACACCACATCCTATCAGGTCTGGTAGAATCCATCCTCACCAAAGCTCATACATAGGCTCCAACCCTGCTGCAGGTGTTTGGGAGCTAGAGTTTACAGCTGTGGGAAAGCTTAGGGATCTGGGCTCCATTTCATTCTGATGGTGGTAAGATTCATTGCCATCTTGCTGTTCAGAAGTGAGTTCATCATCACAAGCCCTAGTCTCACCCTTGTAGTTGATGATTCTATTATTCCAGGATGAATGCCCTGTGCTGAGAGCAAACATCATCCTGGTGGGTAAAAGCAAGGCTATGTGGAGCCTTCAAAGGATGCTTTGAAGACCAGGACCAAATTCTTGGATTTGATTCAGCATTTAACATTCAGCAGTTAACGAGAAGCTAGTGTTGTGAGCAAAGTCCTGTAGTGTTATGCTTACAGAAACCTGGATTGAATCTAGGTAACTCGGAAACCCTTGGAATTGATATTCTCATGGTACGCAGAAAGATATTGTATGTTTTTAAATATTAAAGGTTTTGTCACTGATTTGTACAGAGGGAATGTTCAGAACTGACAAAAGGTGTCCAGAGAGGCCTTTGGAAACTGCTTTCCAGGGTTAGGTAAATAGCAACACCATTTTCTTCCCTTAATGTCATCGCTGCAAGCGCATGGCAAGCACGCTAAAACAGCCACGCTAGAATCATAACTCTAAACCAGGTACTGTGTTGCATTTGATACCACTTGAAAGTAGCCTCTTCTGCAGCTCAAAAGTAGTTTTGCTACCCATGGTTGCAAATATTTTGTTTTTTGCTAGATTCCTCACAAATATGAATATGTGTATGGGTGGGTGCCAAGATTTGGCCCTTATATTCTGTATTCAGCATGGTCTTCAGGTATTGTTTTTATGTTTGAAGCCCTGGTATTCATACTTTTGTTGATTGATTGATCATTGACATATTCCTTGCTGTTTTATATATATATATATATATATATATTTTTAAAGCATGTCAGTTCCATAAAAACTACACAATCCTAGAGCCACACTCAAGCCCAGATCATGCATCTTTTTGGCTGAGGCGAAACATCAATGCCAGTTGACAACACTTACCTTTATGAGAAAAACTGCACTTCTCATCATTTGTCTCCTTCTGATTGAGTCCTTACACCACAGTCATGCTTCAGCTGGTACTCTTTTTCCATGTTCACATGCATATTTTTAATTCCTCCAAGGAGTTCTGTGAATTTCCTAGGTTTGATCCTATATTGCTTTCCTTAAAAACACAGTGGGAGGTACAGAGCTGAGATTGTCTCTTTCCTCTCAAAGTGTGGTTGGGCAGGTAACTCTTAGGCATGCTGCTGTCCCTGCTGCCCCGAATAGCAGTGGCTGAAGCACTGTTTCAGAGGGGGCTGGTGGAGGCTGGCAGGAGGACGTGGCTGCAGCTTTGCTCCTGTGGAGCTGAGGAGTTCCATGTGGCTGGGGTCCTTCCTACGACCTTCCTCCAAGTCTTGCAGAAGCAGAGTGTATCTTAGGAGTCTTAAGGAGCAGCTGCTCCAGTGGAATCCCACCACTCCTTGGAGTTTAAGTGACTTCCAGTTCTTATTTCTAAGATTTATGGTGGTGCCCGATATGCTTGTACATATTTGGCTTCATTAAGCTTTTTACAGTCGTCTTTTAAAGGAAAAATGTTCCCTCTCTCACACTAGAATGATATGTACAGTGAGTGTTATGCTTTGGGTAACATTAAATCTGTAACACTAAAACTGAAAAAACTATTACGTTATTTCATAGTTGTCATTCACTGATACAGTGCCAGTCTTTGATTTTTAGCTTCGGTCTCATGTGCCAGGCAGTACAAAGGGCCCCCGTCAGATCTTTATTGCAGAAAGGGCAAATAAATTCAGAACTGAGGTTTCAAACACCTTAGCCTTGCTTCTAACCAAGTGTGATAATGGGGTCTTGTCTTCTGAGACACAGAAAATACATGGAGCAATGCAAAAATGCACAATGTAAATCCATTTAACGGTAACACATGTTAAATACAAGCCCATAGTATATGGTCCAATTTAGGAGACACACATTAGTAGCAGATGCTTCAGACTTGGCTCCGTAATGTTACACTCCTAAATCCATAGTTCCCAACCAGTGGCTGTATTTCAGATGTGCTGAGCCTCAGCAGTCCCTGTAGAGCTCATCGGCAGCTGCAGGTTCAAGGGTCCAGAAAACTGACGTTTTTATTTAGAAGCCTAATTTTAAGTTTTGAAAATTGTGGTTCTAGGTTTCTTCTGTTGCAACGTATGACTATCATGTATAAGCATACGGGGGGAAATTATATTTGGAAGAACATTAACTCTGAATATAATGAAATTTCTGCAAATAAACCTGAATGTTAATGTTGCGCTAACATCATGTTTGCATTTGGATGCTGGAGTATCTACGATCCGTGGCCCAACCCTTCTCCATTGTGAAACCGTTGGCATGTTTCGCTCTCTCAGGCGCATGCATCGCAGGGCTGGGGCCAGCACGCAGAAGCCGAGAGATGGCCCTCAGCCACTTTTGCCTCAGCCGTGCTTCCTGCATTAAGCACCACCGCCTGACTGGATAGCGCTTCTCTGCTCTTCATTCCTGACCCCTTTTCTCACAGGAAAAAGAAAACGTGCATGCGTTCACGAGGCCGGACGTCCTCTGCTTCTCTCACACGCGTACGTCTGCCTGCAGGGACGCAGCACCCTCGGAGGCCCGGAGAGTTTTGCTGACTCACGTCGATGTAAGATCGACCCGTGAGTCCCGCAGCAGCCGCCGCGCCGCGCGTCCACCAGCGCCTGCGGGAACGGGTTCCTCGTCTACCCTCACAGGAAGCCGGGGCATCAGTTCGTATCTATATAGACCTGAACACAACTGCCACGTGCGAGTTTAAACCAGCATTAACGATGGCCTAGACCACTACGGCGCGGTAACGAGGTAAGCGGCCTGGACCGCAGCTCGTTGCACTCGAGGGTTTATTGTTATTCACAGCATCGTTTCCTGAAGCCAGCGGAGCCACCGGGGAAACCGGTGTAGTCCCAAGTACAGCAAGTGCCCAGGCCCGGGCGCTTCCTCCGCCGCAGGTCACGTGGTGCCGGCCGGCTGC